AACTTTTCCTAATGGAAAAGTTTCATAAATACATAAAATGTTGTCATTCCCATGGCACTTCGCTTTATGTAGTTTCCTGATTTTTGCTTCAAGGACTTGATCATTCTCAAGTCATGTGGAGCCAGTTATGCATATATTTAAACCCGATGTTGATAGAGCATTTTTATGCAAGGTTGTGCAGTGTCACTCAAAACCTAGTAGTTTTAATAAGGTTGGTGGTGGCTTCATCAGATTTCTGGAAAGGATCAGAGTCCTGATCAGCCATTTCTCTTTGTAAAATGAAATTTTAGCAACACAGAGAATGGAGAGTGGTTTAGACTTGCATTTCTTTGAGTACAGCTTCTTTCTGGCCCTATCTGTCTTTGTGAGACTCTTTTCGGTGTAGTTGCCTTCTCTGACCTGCCCTCCCCACATTTCTAGGATGAGAAGGCACCAGACTATTTTCTTTAGATGGTGAAAATGATAAATGTTTGTAGTTACTAGCTGCAAGGATTTACAACAAATTTGGAAACTGCTGGCTACCGTTAGATGGTGGGTGGCAGTTTTGGGGCTCTTAAGCCATCTGCAGCTCTCAAGCTGTTCAAGCGCAATTTGTTATGCTGGGGCTGCATCCCTGAGCAGAGGGAGGCTGTGCTAACATGGGGTCAACTTGATATTTAGCAGCAGGAGATCCAGGAGAGACTGCTGAAGCCAGCACAGCTGGCTTGCAAAGGAGCAATAGGGTGTCCTGGGAATCTACTGTCATCTCATGCCCACAATCCCTTGACATTTTTAAGTATGGGGACTCTGTGTAGGGTTAGGAAGCTGGGTAACTGTTCCTTCACTTGCATTTTTATTTTATGACCCCCTTTAAGCCTCTTGGAGGTGCTCTAAGAGGGAGAAAGAGGTTCAGCCACAACCCAGTTTCCAGAAACCTTAGCAATACAACAGTCAGAACCTCAGGTATGACAAGTATAGTGGAAAAAAAGGCCTGACAGCTATGATATTCCCAAAGATAATTGGTCTTTACTGAGGAATTGTACCATTAAAGAGTAAAAAATTGAATTATTGACATAAATGCAGTGAAAAATCTGGTAGAGAAGCAATATCTGAAAGCAATATAAGCAATTTTCCCAGAACCCGTTCTTCTAGAAGACTGATTTTACTTATTGAGGTATTGCACAATCTGTAAACAGATAAGAATACTCTGATAGTGGATAAGGAAGATGTATAACATAAAGCAAAAGTCCTCTAGTAAGTTCTGTGACATACTTGAGTACACTCCCTAGGGGCACACAATGTATAAGTGAGACAACACCGATATTAAAGGTCAGATATTGTGGACACAAATCACAAGAAGGAATAAAGAAATCTCCACTGATGGAACACTTTAATGACATGAAACCTCCTTTCACATCTTTAGAGTTTATAGGTATTGACTATGTCTCGAAAGCCCCCAGAAAGGGGGAGGCAGGAGCAGCTTATTAAGACAGTGAAAAGCACAGAGGATTTAAAACTTAAACGTGTCGCTACCAAATAGAACAAATCAATAACTGAAATAGGTTATGTATATGTTTGTCTAAGATTGGAAGAAGAAATCTACTTGATTACAGACATTTAGGGGAAAGCCCACAAAAGACAGAGCAGTATTGTTAGCTACTGTGGGCAGCGCAGGGTGCAGCAGCAGAGACCTTTGGCTCATCACAATTATTCCACAGGAGCTGTCTGCTGTCGTAAATGCATTCTGTGAGAAGCCACAGGCAGTTGCCTCTTTGCTGTGTGCTGCTGCCTTTCTCAAATGATGTGCTCCTTTCTGTGCAGTCACAGCAAAAGCATCACTCTTTCTAGTTTGGACAATGTAGTATTAGTGGAGACAAACCTGTTTTGTGCCTGTAGCATGGCACTGGGCTACAAATGGTCAGACATCACCTTAATTTTAGTATTGCTAATAAACCCAGCTACTGCTGTACAAGGGACACATATACAAGGACAGCTTGCGTCCTCCAAACCTCACAGTATTATTGTACCTGGAGTCAATACAGAATTGATGTGTTTTGCCAGAAAAAGATGCTTTGGAAACTGATATTTTAGTCCTCTTTGATGATATGGATTTGCTGGGAGGGACTACAGTAGGCAGGAAATTAATGTATTCCCTCATTGCAGACATGATGGAGTTTGACTAAATGTAGCTAAATTCACAGCTTCTCTACCTTCCTTTTAAAGTGGTTATTCCTTGAATATTTGTTTGAACTTCTGCAGAGCTCTAGAGCTTAGTATGGTAATACTGGGTCACAAATGTTTGCTTTTCACTAAGTTTCTCAATAAGAAGAGACAAATTTTCTCACTGCTAGAAATTATGTTTGGAAAATAAATATTTTATATATTTTTCTATATTTTATATTTGAAATATAGACAATATATATGTCTATATATTACTATCATTATTAATATCTTATCACTATACGTTGCTCATTCATCAAAAAAATGGGAAAACAGCATAAAAATAAATGCATTGCAAATATTTCTAGTTTTGTATTTTTGATTCAGCAGGGTAATATTTACCCATCAATACTAGAGAGAGAAATATGACTGACCTAAGTGAAATTTGATTCAGCAATTTCAATATGTGAACAAAAGCATTATATGCACAAAACTAAACACAAGTGTTTGAAATCTCTAACTTACACATTCTCTCTTTAATATGTATATACTTCACACAAGAAATTGGATAAAGGTAAGAAACAAATTGGTTATCCTAAGGGCTCTGAGATGTTTAACTTAGTTGATGTAGTTCAAAAGGGGTAAAATGTACATATGCTGTCAGTAATTCAAGACTGGGCAAAAATTGTGATTATTTCTTCTTGTTTTACTCATATGGGGAAGAATCCTTGATATTTTTAAAACATTAAGAATCCCTGTCTGGAAAATCTCACCTCTTGGAACAAGCCTAGCAACCAATGCTCTGCTATCTCTTATCATCAGGGCCGAACAGTGACCACTTACACCACTGTGATAAGTCTTTACTGATTTGTAGACCCTCACAACGTTTAAGTAGTGATTGAGACTCCTTGATCCTGACTGGAAGCCTGCCAACAGTAAGAATTATGTTTTTTAAAAATACTCCTTCACGAACCTTTAGGCCACACAGGTTGAAAACCACCGCTTTGAGAAATGATGAAATTTCCTTATTAACTGGCAATATATGCTTAAATAAAATTCACCAGTTTTGCTATTTATGTGGCATTTCATATTCCTAATTTCATCTATGTAACATAAATTTCCTGGGAATACCTATCTAAATTGTCATCTGCTGCCTATTGTTTCTACAATGTAGCTTCTGTATGTATAACAAACAACTCTTGCATTATCTTATTTGTTCTCCTCTATCTTCTGGCATGCTTACTTCAATTAGTACACAATAATGAAAATATTACATTATTATTGTAATCACATAAGGAGATATCTGACAAACACTTCAAAATGGCTCAGATCTTTATGCTATTAATTGCTGCAGTAAGTCAGTGCATATAATTGACTGCATTGCATCTGGAATTCTTGTGAGACACCACCAGAATCGTACTCTTCTGTGCTGCGCAAGCTATTAACCAAACATGCCTCTCTTATTCTAGTACAATGTAAGACCAATAGATTCATGATCCAGTTGCTAGGGGGTTTGGTGTGGAGGTTTTTATGTAACTGAACATAGGACTGCAAATGTAAAATGAGTTTCACATTAAGGATTTGTGGCATATTTAAATTTACAACCCAGAATATTTTTATCATGGCTTCTCAGCAAGTCAAACTACCTTTGTATTGGAATTAAAATACTAAATTTACTAGCATTTTCATCGATACATTTTCAAGTTTAAAGAAATAGAGTCTTCTAGTCACTCATATGGTAAAAATTCTTTACAGTTACTCTCTTGAGGAGATAACTTTTACTTATGCTAATAATTAGATAAAATGAAATGAAACTTGTTACAGAAAATAGTCGTACAAAAATCCCGTATTTTGATATCTAGTTCCTTTATGTTTGCTGACTAGACACTTTAAGTTTTCAACTTCTATCTGTGTTAAGTAGGTATTCTATGACTTACATGTGTACAATGCCTGGATACCTCCTTGAAGTCTATAAAATAGAAGTTAAAAGTGGTTCATCAATAAGCTTGTAGAATATCAGTTGAAAGTTCTTGACATGGAAAAAATTAAAGAGAAACTACCTTCTCCGGTCACCATGTTCAATTGATTGTGTTGCTATACTTTGCTGACAATACTAATAATTTAAAACATCGATCTATAGGCATGGCTATTCTTAGCAGAAGACAGTGAAAACAAACTGCTTTGCTTACAATATTCACAACACTGAAGCATGCCCTTAGCAAAGTGGTACAAATGTCAATATGCTGCTGAGCTCCTCAGAATCCATAACAAGTTATTCGAAGCACAGAAAAACCTTCAGGAAGTCTTTGAAAATATAGATCAAATTCTAATACAACTGCTTTCCCCAAATCCTGCACTTCTGAAAATCCATCCCATCTTAAACTATGACAATGATTCTGTTAAGCTTAGATCTGTCAAATGGGAGCATACTTGTGACTGTGAGCCACTGTGTCCAAGGTTCTTCAAAGTAAAAATACACACATTTAATCTACCCGGCATTTCAAGAACAGATTCCACACCTCAAGGACTAGGGTGCTTATCTTGGGTTGTTGCCATTCATTTCAGCTCATTTGCTATTATGATAATGAACTTTCTTTGGAAGCAACTGCATATTTTAAATCAACATAAAAATCCAAAAGATAACTGCATGTATTTAATGTAGTATTTATTAGACAGGGAAGAAAAATAGATGAAGTAAAGCTTTTGCTCTATGTCATATGAAGATGTAGCTTGAAAAACTTCAGTATTATCCTCAAGAAATTAAGTTACGAAAGTCAGGAACTGGCACAGTATGTTCTCAGCCAGTTAAATGCTGCTTATTATTTTAGCAAACATTTCTGCTGGCAGTTGTTAACCTCAGGCAATAGAAATACATGTTTGCAGAGGAGTAAAGAGCAACTAGGGAATCTATTTATTCGCTCCTGTAAAAGCTTTTCTGAACTGATATGCAGAGTTACTACTTCAGAAGTAATTATAAACTAAGCTCATTTGAAGTGGCACCTTTGCTGGTTGTTTTTACTTTCATTTTTATTTTTGAAAACCACATTAACAGCATACAACTATTAATTGGTTTATAAATTAAATGCAAAATTGGTAGTACTATTAGTATAAAACCATGCTTGACTTCTACAATTTTCACAGAATGAAGGACCTTTATGAGTTCTTGTCTTTGGGGAAATATTTTTAAAATTCAGTAGCTGCCATATGGTGTAAGAAGACTCAGTTCAAAGGAAGAAACAAAACCAGACATAAAACACAGACTGGTTTATATTTTTATGACTATAACTAGTGTTCCTCCAGTATGGTAGGGAATTCATTCCAACATGTCTTTCAATGTGGCACTAGTATTTTATAATTACTTCCTACAAGTCCTTTGTGATCTTGACCGTCTCTGTGCATTGCTCTTTCAAAGATATGCTTCCTGATACTGCAATTGTCAGAGTGTTTTTCTGTTTCCAGAAATAATTTGCTTCTCCTGTCAGGCACAGTGCACCTTCTTTCTCAAAGAGCCTCTTCTGGGTGGCCATCTGGAAGCATCACCTCTGTGCAAGTCGGGCAGGCTGCTGACTTTGTGTTGGCTCACTTCTCCTCAGCGCTGGCTACTGCCCTGAAGGCAGCATTAAATTTTATTCCTGGACTGATAAATTTCAAGCCTATTGACATTTGTGACAAGACTCAGTGAAAGACTCAGCAAAAAAAGGATGAAGATGTGGAAGAGGGAATCAGCCAAGGACAGGCATAGATGATCCAAGTCTTCAGAACCAAATAAGCACACAGAGGTGCTGCACCTTACCTGAAATGCAGCATTGACAACTCTCTCTCATGCAGTGTTTGAAGAGCAATGAAAAGCCGAAGCCAAATGCTAAAAGCAGACATTCCCAAACTATAGAGAAATTAGATTTCAAGAGTTCTGATATGTGGGCCTTTCTATAGTCAGAAAACATAACAGAAAAAGAAAGCAATTAAGTGAGAAACGGGGAAAAGCAGAAGAGTTCTCCCTGGATCTAAGAGATCCGGAATGATCAATGAGAAAAGAGGAAAATTGACTTAGTATATTTATTACTAAAGTCTTTTTTTCTGCCTGTCTTCATAACTACAGTGTAAATACACAGCTTCAGTTTTTCCTAGCTGTGTGTAGGGGGGTTAGATATAAATCATCTGTGGGCTTGCGGCTACACTTCAGTGAAACTGATGACATGAAAATCCACAGACTTGGGATGAGGCAGTATTTATAATAAAAAAGATCAGCCTGGTGACAGGAATACTACAATTTTTTCCATTATAATAATATATTATTTTATGCTTCTTCCTGATACTATGCTTTAGAAATGTGTATGATTATCACAAGGTATAACAATCACGAATCATTCAGATTCGCAAGGATGTCCCCAGAAGACAATCTCAAATGCAGACATTTAACAGTTCCCAGATTACGTGCTGGAGCTGGAGAGACTGATTCAAGGCATTTCATGGATAAATTATCAGCTTTCCTGGAACGGCATTTAAATATTGTGCTTCAGAGGTCAGTTGGAGTTACTCTGGTGTAAACTGAGAGTAGTCCAACCCCCTGTGGTTAACCACCACCTGGGTTTAAAGGAAGAAGATGGGTTTGTTTTTTATTTGTTTGTTTGGGTTTTTTTAATAGCTGTGTCACTTTGCAGTTTATTTATTTAATTAAGTAACTATAAAAGTTCACATTCTCACCAGAATTATCATCAGCTAAAACTGATCTATCATGTAGAGTGAGTGTTCAGAAAGACTTGGTTGCCAGTAGGATAGCATCCAAGGAAGAGATATTCCTATTCATAGGGATGAGTAAGAACACTTGGTTTCATTTCACAGATACAGGCTATTCTTTGAAAGGTGAAATAGAACACAGAGTCTTTCAGTGACCAGATACCTGTTCTTTCATGTTACTGGGAATCTCTCAGACTTCAAAAATTTTAAAATTACTTTGAAAAAGCAGAGATGGTTTCCAATAACACCAAATAGATGGCTTGAAGGGAAAGATGCAAGTTTTAGTGCTAACAATAGAAGTCAAAAAGTTAACTGATCTAAGCATGAAAAGGAGTAAACAAAATTTTCTCTTCATTTAATTGTGCAAAATGTAACCAAAACATTCTTTATGAAATTACTATCAAAATGCAATGAGAGCAAATACAACACTGTTTTTGCCATGCATATTTTTAAGTCAGTGAGTGCCATAGTACCAACAGTGTGGAGAATGGACCCCTTAGAAAAATCAGTGATCATTCTTTCTTCCCCCGTCCTTTGCTGATGTTATTTCTTCAGCGCCACTGGAGAAGCCAATGGAAATTTTAAATGAAATACATTGAGCTCTTCGTGTCATGACAAAGAAAGATAGGTTGAAATGTCATGTTACTTTTGCATTTTAAATGTAAAATATTCTATGTACCTGGTCCTGTATCTGAGCCTAATAAATAGGAAATATTTCTATTTAAACCAGCTATTTGTAGGTTACAGTGAAGTCTTTCAAAAGATATGTCACAGTAACTTATTTTTTACATTTCTTCCATAAGGAAAGACTATTATACAAAACATATATATAAATAAAAGGTTTTAATGTTTTTATTTTTTATATACATTTAAATAAATAAATAAAATTTATATCTACAAAGAGAATAAAAACTTTTAACATTAAAACTATATCGACTCCACTGTGCTTAGTTTTGCTAGTTAATTTCTTGTCTAAATCTCAGCAAAGAGGATGGTTTTACCCAATGACTGTGTGATTTTCTTTTTTAAGAAAGAGGACTTAGAATAAACAAAGAGAAGCTTCTAAAAATAGGTTATGCATTCCAAGGGATGCTGGATATCTAATGCAATTCCTGTAGGTCGAGAGCACGGATCTGTATTGATTATTCCGCAGGAATTCATAACGTGTGTTTGAATGCCATCGCACCTCAGTTTACTCAACAGTGTCCCAAGCCCTCACCGCGATCCCGGTGTATGGAGCCACTTGCCAGGGAGGTGCATGCCATCTAGTGGCACCCTAACACACGACGACGCCGTCACCCAGACAGATTCACAGAATCATTTAGGTTGGAATATCATCGAGTCCAGCCTTTGACCGAACACCACTATGTCAACTAGACCATGGAACTAAGTGCCATGTCCAGTCTTTCCTTAAACACCTCCAGGGACAATGACTCCACCACCTCCCCGGACAGCCCATTTCAATGTCTGATCACCCATTCTGAAGAAATTCCTCCTAATGTCCAACCTGACACCCCCCCCCGATAAAGCTTGAGACTGTCCTCTCTATGTCCTGTCACTTGTTGCCTGGGAGAAGAGACCAACCCCCCACTGGGCTACAACCTCCTTCCAGTAGCGATAATCATTGAGCCTCCTCTTCTCCAAGCTTTGTGTAAGGTCTGGTAGGCAGCTGCTGGACGTAACTCTCACAAACAAACAAACAAGCAAACAGACATGTTCACTTTCAGTAGCAATGCCTCTCACAGCTCTCTCTCCTGCTTGATATACTGTGGAATACTGACTCTAATTTATCTTTAGCTGCATTGGCAGCTCCCTATTGCTCCTTATCTTCCCCCTCTACTTTGCTCTTGTGAGAACCCACCCAGAGTGCTGGATCCAGCTCTGGGGTCCTCAGCACAAGAAGGACATTGACCTGTTAGAGTGGATCCAGAGGAGAGACATGAAGGTGATCAGACAGATGGCAAAACTCTCCTACAAGGAAAGGCTGAGAGAATTGTGGTGGTTCAGACCGGAGAAAAGAAGGCTCTGGGGAGACCTTACTGTGGCCTTTCAGTACCCGAAGGAAGCCTGTATGAAAGCTGGTGAGGGACTTTTCACAAGAGTGTGTAGTGACAGGACAAAGGGGAATGGCATTACACTGGAACAGAGAGGTTTAGATTAGATATTAGGAAGAAATTCTTTTCTGTGAGGGTGGTGCGGCACTGGAACAGGTTGTCCAGAGAGGTTATGGATGCCCCATGCCTGGAAGTGTTCAAGACCAGGCTGGATGGACCTCTGAGCAACCCAGTCTACTGGAAGGTGTCCCTGCCCATGGCAAGGGGGTTGAAACTAGATGAAATTTAAGGTCCCTTCCAACCCAAACCATTCTATGATTCTCTGATTTTATGACTATACTTGTCAATTCAATTGTATTGAACAAATTACATTTTGGAAGACATTAGAAGCTGCCAGGTCATAAGGATGGATTCAACATAAAGGAAAACAAAGCCAGCCCTGCTTCTTCAGTCTAAAGACTCTATGTACCATAGCATCCCATGAGCGCTACCCCAGACTCTCTGCCTCCTGCGTGCCAGTCTTCCCAGCTCAGGGGCTGCTACTTCTGCTGCAGAGCCCAAGGGGACATTTTATGTCATCTTATGGTAAAAGTATGACTACGTTTTTTTGGTCTTTCTGGTTTTTTTTCCGGTCTGCTGTGTTGCAGAGTCAGCGGAAGGGTTGGGACAGACCGGTCAAGTGGTCCCGCTCCCTCCTCAGCTAGGGAGGAGCCCGGCGCCGAGCGCTGAGGGTTATTAAAGGGGACTCGTAGGACCGGGAGCCCGCCCGGCACAGAGACCCAGCCCCATGGCCGCGACAGGGACTACATTTCCTACCTGCCCACGGGGCAGCAGCGCGCTCGCCATTATTGTGCGTGCCTTCGCGGGGGCTGCTGGGAGCTGTAGTAGGAGGCGGGGAGAAGATGGCGTCCAAGATCAGCGTGGTGCTGCGGCCGGTCAAGAGCATCGTGGTCCGGTTCTGCCCCTTCGAGCCCAACGTGGAGAGCACGAGGTGAGGGGGCCGCGGGGGCAGCGCCGGCCCCGGGGCTGGGGCCGTCCCCGTTCCCGGCCGTGCTCTGCCCGGGCTCCTCTGTCTGTAAACGCCCTTCCTGTGCCCTCCAGGCGCCCGGGTTCTGCGCGTTTCCCGGCAGGCACGAACGCTGGGCCTTTTGCCTTTAATTCTCTTTATTTTGGGGGTGGAGGCAGGGATTATGTGTGCCCTGGGGAGGCAGCTGCAGGTGCGAAGCGAAGCCGGAAAACCTGCTGTCCTAGCAGTGCCCTGGGACTTGTCACTGTAAAGAGTAAGAGGTCCTGGTCCCCGTGAGGGAAATGCTAGCACCTGTTGTTCCCTCTCAGGAGAAGAACCTCCTTCTCCCAAACTTCTACAGCTGCTGCACTTTGGCTTCCGTGATCTTGGTCTTTGAGGGCTTGCATTTATCAGGCTTTTGGAGCTCAGTCTAGGCATAACCTTGATGTTTCAGAATGGGATTTGTTGTAGGGTTCTGCTTATGGTAAGTGTTACCAGGCTGCACACAGGATTCATTCCGTGCTTTTTGGAGGGTCTCTGCCCGAATGTAGGCCCTTGCATGTGGATATGTGCACTGAGCTTTACCAAAGTACCCAGGGAGAAGCCCTGGAGTGGCTGATCCTGTAGGGAATGTAATAACTCCTTCAAATGCTGGTAATGGGAAAAAGTGGAGGCAACAGCTGCTCCTTTATCTGGGTAATTAACTGTTGGTGAAATGTAAGGAATTGTGCTTCTCGAGTAATGTGGGTTCTGCACCAAACAGTCGCAAAATGTTGGCTTGCAATGACTTTACAGACACATGTACTTTTAAAATGAATTTAGTGCCACAGTTTAATTTAGAATATCTTTAAGCCACTAGAACGTCAAGTAGCTGTCATGCATTTCAGAACTTTACAGGAGACCAATGATGTCAAGTAAATAAATGCTGTCTCAAACCCAAACAAGAAAATATTGGCAAGCAAATGACTTATAAAGAAAAACGAAAATTACTTTGCTGATTGTTTTTCATTATTGTTACTAACCCAGCTGAGAGAAACACAGAAGGTGTATACACTGAAGTTTTACAAAATTCTTTGATCTGCATTTTACATGTTAGTATATAAGGAATATCCATTTGGATTTTTTAGAGTGATTCTCATATAAGAAGTTCCTGTCTGAAATTACTAAGTACAAATCCTATTTTGTTTATACTTTGTTGCCCAGCAGTGTCAAGATATGCAAATCAGTTTTAGAAATATACTGACTTTAATTGCTATCTACCACATACTTAATATATTTTCAAATATATTTTCAGAAAATTTCTCCAATGTATATACCATAAAAAAATCCAAGCTACTAATAGAAACTGTGAAGTGACTGCTGATGTGAGACATGATGGATCTGAACCACTTGTAGATGTCATGTTTGGTAAGGAGCTCGTTTTTTTTTAAAAAAAAAGACCTGAGTTGTGTTACAATGTTATTCTGTTCTCTATTTTTTTTTTACTATTTCTCTCGTCCATAAAAAGAAAGAGGGAGTCACTAACAGCCTGATGTCTAGATAAATGTATATATATGTCTCTGTGCTACAGTTAGATCTGATGGATTTTGGATCCAAAAACTGACTTAACTTTAGAGCTGAATGTAGTTGTGTAGTGACACATACTTATGTGACCTTGCAGACAGGTACAATTCCAGGAAACTAAATGTAGCTCTGTTTTGATGTAAGAATCTGTTCAGTTTCTATATTTTTTTTGAATGTTACCTGTGGTGGAGGTATCACAGTCTTGAAAACAGAAAGTTGAATACCTTTAGTTGCTTATGCAACTGAGTAACTCCCTCTGCAGTTTGAAGGAACTGCTCATATGGGTAAGGCCACATGTGTGCAGATGGATTTGCAGAATGAGGTCAATTGTGTACAACAAGTTTCTTGGTTTCCTTTGAGGGCACAGTGGGCAGGCAGGGAATTGATGGTGGAAATTTCAGCAGTTCTGGAGGCGGCCCAGATTCTAGGCTGTGAACAGATGGCTCTAAGCTGCTTTTGTCCTTTTCTCTGGCTGCATCTTCTTTCCTGCTGTGCTGTAATAGACCAATATGTCATGTAGCCCATTAAAGTTTTCATTATTATTGAGTCATGCTACCCCCTTATCTTTAAACTTCCATATATTTAGTGAATTGGTGGAAATGTCAAAAGTGTTGAATGGTATTTATTTTGCTTAGGAAAGTCTACTTATTTCATGTTAATGTTGCTTGTTCCTCCCTCCCCCATGCTTGTCTTTCCCATTCTTGTCTCTAACTGTGATCTGATGTATTAAGTCTGAAGCAGTAAAGCTCAATGTTTTTCACAGTGTAAAACCAAAACAGTTTGTTTCACTTATGCCAAGAGCTACAGCTCTGAACTCTTACTTTTCTAAGAGCTGATTTTTTTCCAGGGAAGTGTTTGTAGCTCTTGTAGTTGGCAAATGGGGCCTGGAACTTGGATGGCATGCACGGTATTGCATTATATGAGTTTGGGTATGGGTTTTTGTATTTGCAAATCTTGCAGAAATAAATAATTAACTTGGGTACAATACTTGTACTGCTTTTTGCCCATTTTAAAATAAATTCTTTCAGAATTTTGGAAATCCCAGTGCTCTCTATTTTTTTCCATCACAACCACCAGATTGTGTAAACCAATTTGTTGTTTTGGCTAAAGAAGTATGTTAAATGGACTGTAGACAACAGGCTGCTAAAATGCTGAGCCATGTGTGGAAATGGTCTTTCAATGCCTTCTGTGCCTTCTGCTTTGGAGGTATAGCATGAGCCATTCAAATATGTGTTCTTACCATAGGTATACCTATACAAATGTTTTCAGATTTTTCAATAATGCAATTCAGAAATGAAAATTAAATGCGTAATGTGTGCAGTTTAATTTGTTTGTTTGGTGGTGGTGCATAATCAGAGTAAGTAGAGTACTTTCTAATCAGACAAGATGAACAGGTTATTTGGATTTATATATACAAAACAATTGCACACTAGAGTGATTGTGACTTGGACTTTGTGATTTCTTAAGATTTTTTCCATTTACAGCTGATGGAGATCGATTAATAATGAAGGGAGCCAACTTGACCACGGTAGAAATGTTAACAGCATTGGGGTCCAGATGTAATGCAAAAGACCTTAAGGAAGAACAGAAAAGCAAGAAGAAGAGTCCCTGAAGAACAGAAAAACAAGTGTGTTTGCATTTACGTGTGTTAAAAACAGCAGACTGCACAGAAGGCTTTTCTCCTATGCAAGAAAATCTGAGAGAGATGGCCAAAACACTGACCAGTTTAACATGCAGAAGAATGAAGCCTTCCAATGTTCCCTGTCTTTACCTGAAGAACATAGTGGATCAACAAATCTAACACCAGTGGGTCAGAGTGGCTTAAGATGCATGACTGGATCTCTCTGAGCAGCTGTGTGTCGGACTAATATCACGTGTATTTGCATATCAGTGTGAATAATACACATTAGCTATTAAATTAATATTGCAATGAAGACAGATATCTTTGGACATTATTTCCTCCAAAGTTTCTCTATGTTGTAGTGCAAAACATTATTAGAGTGGTTATTATTTTTTGAAAACTATTAAATTTAGTAAAAATTTGAAGAAAACTTTCAAAGGATTCATCATTGACTTAGCTGAGGGACAGCAGGCTGCAAATAGAGTGGATTTTGTAATACTGTGTTTATAATGCATCTGTTTTTAAGCTCCTGCCATTTTCTTCCTGTCTTTTTGAAGAAAAAGGGAAGTCTGCTAACTCTAAATATAGCTCAGCAATTAAAGTAACAAGGTAATGGGACTGTCAAGACACAGTAGAGCTACTCATCCCGTATAAAAGTAACTAACTAACTTTAGATATTTACTGAAGTAAATATCTAACATGATTATTGACATGATTATTGACAGACCATATGGTCCACCTTGTTTCAGATGTATTGTTTCCTTGAAATACATCTTAAAGCACTCAAAAGCATCAATTGCCTTACAGCAAATATTTTTCCCCTCAAAAAAAGCATTACAAATGTTTCAGAAAAGACACATGAAAAAGCAGTTCTTAAAATGCTAAATCTAAGATACTGTCTACTTTTTTAAATGCTTATATTAATGTATCTCAAGGTTCACGAAAATATCTTAAGGCTCATGAAAACTAGTCTCTATTTAGAAACAAGTGTCTACTAGGAAGTTCAGAGACTTGTTCGGAACAAGAACCTGTAGTTCAAAGGGAAAAGTCAGTTAGTTTTTTCAATAATTAGAGGAAAGGGCTATCTTTGAAGTTCAGGTTTGCAATATTTTTGTCAATATTTAGTTCTACCTGTTGTTAATCAGATACCTGACTTCTTTAAAACTAGTTCATTTATTTCCGAAGTTAATTTGGCAGCAGATTTAGGACACAAATATGAAACTAGTTTTACCTTACTTTTGCCAAGATTTTTAAATGGACACTGTCCTTTCTGAAAGGAAGATCATTTTAAATAGCACAGGCAAGGTGGTTGTTTGCTACTTCTTCATTAGGTTGCTCAAGTCAAGGTGATGTGTTATATTGGAGAGCTGTGCTAAAGACATAGGGTGTTTCCCATGTGTTTGCAACAAATAGAAGAGTACTGTAGAAGTAGATCAAATATAAATAAGACTGTTCAAAGGACAGGTTTTTTGTTTGTCTGTTTGATTTGGGGTTTTTTCCTCCCAGTTTAGAATAACATCATATAGTATGATTTTACCTGAAGCACCTCTGCAGGAAAAGTGAGAATTATTCAAGTGAAAAAACACTGCAGAATTATTCTTTCCCTAGTTAAACATGTATTCATGTGCACAAAAGCTCTCTTACTGTAATATATCAATGATTTTTGTGATTTTTTTTTTCTTCCTTTGACAGTTTGTACATCAGTTTGTTCAGCTTGTGTTTAAATGTGAAACACTCTTACTTGATCTGTCTTAAATAGTTAAATCTGTAAGTACCTAAAGACTAAAATGGGTTACTTAATTAATTATTAATAATAATTAAGTTTCTGTAGTGTTTCTTTTGGCCCAAGATTGGGGGTTGTATTTATGAATAGAAAAGGGAGAAAAGATTGTTGTTTGAGCTTATGGCAAAAATACATCCTTTCTGTTGTTGAAGAAAGGTGATCTTTTTTTTCTTTCCTTGGATGGGTAGGCATCCCGCTGTGTAGCAACACACTTGTTCTAGATGCTTTCATTTTAACCCAGAGATGCCCAACCTTTTTGCTTAAATTAGGCCAAAAGCCTGCAATGTTGCTGTTGAGAGATGGCCAACAATTCAGTGGATGAAGCTGAGGCTGCGGGTGCTTGTAGCTGCAGTTTGCAGTGGTAAAGCTCTGATACATTTTGTCATGAAAAACAAGTAATGACTTGTGTTTTAATATACAAGGTACAAAGGAAAACCTACAGGACAGAAAAATAAAGCTAAAAATGTACATTCTCAAGACTGTAAGATACTGAAGTGATATAAGCAAGTAATATGGGCAAGAAGGTACTCCTCTGGTGATTATTATGCTGATCTGTAGAAACTAGCTCTCCCTGTACTGTGTCGATAAAGGTACGAATTTATTTTTCAAGTACATTAAAGATAATCTGTAATGACTTTCTTCCCTGAGCATTTAGATAGCTTTGCTGCAAGCTGTTCATATACTATCAGTTCCTGCTGGTGATTGACTGAAACAAAGCTCTCACAGCTTCCTGACATGCACAGTCCAGGGCTGGGTATTAAGGTCAGTCATGCAGAACAAAGCATGTCTGGGTGAGCATTGACTTTGCATGTTGTTGTTCTTTAGCCCACTAATCTCGATTGCCCCACCAAAAATGTGGGCGCTTGCCCAGCTATGAAAGGAACTGGAACAGCTGGAACAGGCCCTAAAAGCACTAGGATTACCTAAATACAAACACCATGTCCATGTAAGGTGTCTGATAGCAGGTAATGACAGTAAAATGGCTAAATCTTTAATACCTGGAGATTTAAGACCAGTTTTAGAATCATCTTAGATCTGTTTATTGTACAAATACGTATTTATTTAGAAGTTCTTATCAGTGCATAGGGAAAATAGTCCTGAAACAGATGAATATGTAATTCAGATAACACTACCTGGCTGAGATATTCCCTTTTTAAGTATCTGCAGCATTGTTTTTAGAAAAAATCTTTATTAAAGATTTCAACTAGGAGCAGCAGTGTTGGTGAACATTGCAAGTGTTAACACACAAGTTTTACACAGCAAGTTTTAACTACTAGCTGGCCCAAATAAGTACAAAATTGCAATGTCCTGATGCTTTTCTTGCAAGGTATAAGCAAGTAGAAACATCCTGTTGGAGGCAGTTCATGCATGCCAGTGCAACTTCTATTCTTTGTTATTTGCAGGGATCTCAGTTTGGGCAATTTCATGCTACATATAGTAGGAAAAACTGGCTGCAATACAGTATTGCTGTGTAAACACCACTGGAGGAGGGAAAGATGTTTTAAATCTCAATTATTTTGAAAATGTTGCAATCTAATATGCTTTTGCTGTTTGTGAACATACAAAAAGTGTAATCTAATTTCAGAAAATTGTATCTAAGTATTTGCCCTGTTGGTTATGGAAGAACCATAGTTTTAGTTTGGTTTTCACCTCTACTGTATGTGAATTTTGAATGACTAAGGAGTTTATATGGTGTAAGAAAGCCAAAAAAAATCCTCCAAAGGTAAATATCCTTGGACTGTATTTAACAGTTCTCAAGATACTTGCATCCAAATGTATCTCCTTCATATGTATACACTCCTTGCAGTTTAAGATTTGCTGGCTCACTGCCTGCCTCACCAACTACACGTGCAACCGGTTTCCCTGAATGCCAGGCCCTGCTTTTCCTCTGGGTGGTTTGGAGTCAGGTTGAGACTGACATGTCACCTATCAGCGATGCCTCTTCTAGATGCACTTCCCTGCCTTCTCCATCTCCTGGCCTAATAGCCTTTTTCCTTACTGGTACTGTTTGATCTCATCCGCTCTCACCTTTTCCCCCTGGAAGGCCTGAGTCACTCTTCTGAGCCTTTTTTATTGTCTACCAAGAGGATGCAGTAGCTTCAAGCAGCCAAAGTACTTTGCTGCTGGTAGACCACTGCATGTTCTCTGCTTCCTGCTTAACCTTGCTCTGTAAGCTGATAAATGTTGGGATGGAGCAGCGTGAACAGGTAGAGGTGCTATTTTGCTTCTGATAATTTTTAACTTGACAACAAATTGTCTTTACGCTGAGCTGGTCTTCTCAGGATTTTACAAAACTAAAGCTGTGCCCAGGGACAGATGTTAGGGGTGTGAAAGCAAAGGAGTTGCTGACCCATTTTGATCATGTCCTGAGAAGTTTCAAAGTGGTACCTGAAAGCAGAGCCTAGAGATTCTGCCTAAGTGGGCTTTAAAGTGGGCAGTGTTAATAGCAGAGGTTTTTTGGGTTGACTACATGGCTTGGATTCAAAAGATCTTCTAAGAAAATTCCTACTTTTGGCATCTCAGGCAACCATGCAGGATCAGCAGGTATTCTCCAGTTTGCACTTCTAGACTTGAAAAGCCTCACAGTATTTGGGTTTATGTCCTTGATTCTGTCTCAAAAGATGACGTTACGTATCTAACATCTAGACCAGAGAAAATCTGTAAGGAGGTAAGAAATTACATTACAGTTCCCTGATTTTTTCCTATGCTTCTGCCCAAGGATAGGTTCTGAGACTGGTTTGGGCACCTTTTCTTTTATGTGCAGCTTAACTTGATACTAATCTAGCTATTTGAAGGAAATGAATAAGTAATCATCTGATTCTTGACAAGACTTAGTATGTTGACAATAGGAATGGGATAATAGTAAAAACTAGCTTTAGCTTCCAAAGGGTTTTACCCTATGTTCTTCTACAGTCCATGGAAGAGGAGGTCTTTTCTGAAAGGTGAGTCAGAATGGGAAGCTAATACTTTGAGTGCCACCCCAGAGAGCCTATTTCTTCTTGCTGTGGGCAGGTGTGAGGAGACTTGTGCTGTTTGGAACCTCCATCAACAGTGCCCCAGGCATCTCTTCCACATCTAAGCCCTTGTCCCCACAGGATGAAGTCCTTTGGGAGCCCTATTCAGGTAAACAGCCTACACATATTCCTAACGCTGTACAACACGATTTTGCTCAACAGGAAGAGAAGCAGTTGCAGTCCCTCTCACTCCAACACTGCTGGGAAAGGTGTTGGTATCCCCATCACAATGCGAAGACCCTTCCTCTGTAGAGGATGAGTGTCAGGCTCTGCCTGCCAAATTTCTATAGCTGTGATGCTCATCTTGTGACATCCTGAGAATAAAAACTAATGCAATAACTATAGTTACAACTATAAAACTTTTTTTTTCCTGCCGTTACCTTCACAGCGGTTGATCAATATCCATAGTAGTGAAACTCTGCTTCTGATATGCAATCAAAAATAATTGCCCCTCTAAAATCCAGTGGGCATATCTGTAGTTTGTGATTCCAAATTTCATAGGCTATTTATTCATCATTGGTAGAAATATTTGTTTTATCATTATTTATTCCAAATCATTTTGACATTCCTTGTTCTTGCCCTTATGTCATTATTGTTCCAGACCACACAGAAAGGACAAAGTTGAAGGTTTTA